TATTATATTTTATGTATTAATAATATACTATATTATATATTATATATATTATTTTATATATTATTATATATATTGTATTTTCCCAGCATGCACTAGACTTTAAGATATAGAAACTGGTGGATGGTCCAGTGGAAGACTGTATTGATATTTCCTTCACAGCCCAAGTTACCTGTTCCCTCACTGGGGATAAGTGGGGCCTCACACAGGCTAGGCTAGTGTGCAACTGAGCTACACCACTAGCATCCGGATAACTAAGACAGTACACTTAACTAAGCCTGTTATATTAGGGAACACATAGTTTCATTTTGGTTTTTTAACAGGAAAGACTTGAGGGTTGTTTGTTCATGGTACTGGGGATTGAATCAGGGCCTCACACATGCTAGGCAAGTACTCTACCACTGAGTTACAGTCCCAGCCCCTTAGCCTGCATCTTTATCTGTATTCTTAAAATCTTTGTAATTTGCATTTTTTTAGTTATTACATTGTTATTTTGTGTGACTGCTTCTAATTCTTGCTTAGCACAGCAACCATTAAAGCTGATTATACCTGTAATCTCAGCACTTGGAGGCTGAGGCAGGAGGATCATTTCAAGTCTGAGGCCATCCTGGGCTACAAAGTGAGTTCAAGGCCAACCTGAACTACATAGTGAGACTGTCTCAAAAAGACAAAAACAAAAAAAACCCACCTGATTGTGAAACCACTGTGTTCTCTTGCTTGGGTGGCCATCTTCACGCTGTCAGATATACCTTTACTTGGCCCAAACTCACTCTGTAGAGCCTGTTTCTTTTCCTACCTTTAATAAAAGTTTGCTACTGTTATTAAAAAAAAAAAAAAAAAAGTGTGAGCCATCATTCCCAGTTCAGATACATTTCTGCCTTATTCAAGATGAAAGGATCAAGATGAAGGGAGATACTTAATAGTACGGGAAGTCTCAGCTTTCGGAATCAGAGTTGGTCCAGTTATCAGCTTTGAGGTGGATGTTATCAAGGGAGTTTTAATTTTTTGTTGTTTTTTTCTAGTACTGGGAATCAAACTCACGACCTTGCGCTTGCCAGGCAGGTGCTGTGCCGCTGAGCTAAATCCCCATCCCCTCAAGGGAGTTTTAATGATGGCACCTTAAGGGACATATCCAACACGTAGAAATCCTTTGATTTAATTAAAGCTGTTGTCTCTTTCAGCAGAAACTAACCACAGTAAAAAGTAAGAATTCTGTTTGTAATAGTCTGATGGAGACCGTCAAGACTGGAACTGCACTTTGAGATGAGAATAGTGGGGCCGGGGATATAGTTCAGTGGCACAAGTGCCTGCCAGGCAAGTGCAAGGTCTTGAGTTCAATTTCCCGTACCAAAAAAAAGAACAGTGGCTAACATGTATCAGCCAGTCACTACAAAGTTAGCTCCAACTGTGAACTAAATGTTTTTGTGTCTCCTACCCTCCAATGTATATGTTTAGGCTGTACTCCCCAGTGCAGTGTTAGGAGATGAGGCCTTTCAAGAATAGGATGGGAAGTCAGAGGTGATCTCTGTGCCCTGTGATACAGCAGGAAGGCAGCCCGCCACAAGCCAGGAAGAGGGCCATCACCAGGGACCAGATTGGCAAGCACATTAGATTGGTCTCACATTTCCCAGCCTTCCTAACTGTAGACGTAGATGCTGTTGAGGCTATCCAGTCTCTGGTATTTTTGTTACAGAGCTTAAGTTAAGACAGCACTGTTACAAGCACTTTACATCACTTAACACTCTTTTATGAGAAAAAGAGTGAATCAGGGAGCTTAAGTGTTTGCCCAACTCATGTAACAAATGTGTGCTAATGCATAGGATTCAGACTCACTCGATCCAGAAGCCATTCAATCTGCACATGACCTGTTTCCCTCTCTGACCTTATCAGCAGTCATACCAGAAACAGAACATCCTCTTCCACAAGTATTGTAAGTGTGAAGAGCCATTAAGTCAACATGTTACCAAGGCAGATTCAGTTGCCAAATATGAAAATTAGTAATGTCTTTTCTTTTAAATGAACAAATTTTATTTTAAAAATAGATCTCAGTAACAATGAAATGAAAATTAGTAATGTCACATTTGTGACTCTATCTAAATTTACTCCTAAGATTATATTAATGGTTGAAAATTACCAGTGATTACAATAACAACAGGATAAAGAAGTTCTATTTCCATTTAAACTGGGCAAGTCAAAAGGTATACATAATAAAGCCAAAGCCCACAGTATCTGGTATATCAAAGGACATTATTTTAGTACACATCAGAATGTTTACTTATATACAAATTTACTTAAAATTGTATGGAAATTTTCACTTAAGAGTGCACAAAAATTTAAGATCATAGTGGGGTATTCTTGCTGCGTTTTGTAATCCAGGAGCAGGTGCGCTCGCTGAGCCACATCCCCAGCAGTGTAGTATTTTTAATACATTTGAGACCAAAGATATAAGCCAGCTAGACAAGCAAAAAATACAGCAGCTATCTGCAAATAAGTTGTGTGTGTAGGTTTTTTTTCTAGTGTTTTTGAGACAGGGTCTCACTATGCAGTTCAGGCTAGTCTTGAGCTCACTTTGTAGCCCAGGCTGGCCTTGAACTCACAATGATCCTCCTGCCTCAGCCTTCTGATTGCTAGGATTATAGGCGTGCGCCACTACACCCAGCTAGTTGTGTTGGTTTCAAGCGTTATTGTAAATCCACTTCTGAGGATCTCTGAGTCTGTTATGTTTAGACATAACAGAAACTGTTTTTAGAACTGTTTGACATTAACCATACAGAAGAGCTATTGATTCTAAAGACATTCAATGCCATAGACCTTGACAATTATGCTTGTGTTTGGAAAAAATATAGCCAACTGTGTCAGTCTTACGCTTTACGGTTTATGTCTAGATGTCCCTCCAAAGGCTCATGCTGTCACGGGGTGGGTTTCTAGAGTTTTTGACTCATTCATGGTCCAACACTGGGATTATGGGTGTGAGTGCTATACCTGCCCTGAGGTGGGCAGTCTGCATGTAGGATAAGGGAGGGGAAGAGGCTTGCTCTTGCTGCTCCTCCCTTTTTGCTTGTTACTTTTGCTGTTTTCCCCACTGCCATGAACTGTTGCACTCTGCCACATGCCACCCTGCCTTGCAGCCAGCAGAGTATGGACTGAAATTTCCACAAACTGTGAGCTAAATAAACCTTTCTTTCCTTAACTCTGGGTGTCAGGAATTTTGTCTCATCAAAATGAGAGAAAAGTTAACCAACACACGCCTTAAAACATTTTCTTCCACAGACTATATAATACTTGTAGATAGGTTAATAAAAAGCAGTAATATTGGCCAGTGTTTTAAAACATTAGTAACTGCTGCACAGATGTACTAATTACCTGAGATCAGGTCACTAAAATTCTGCTTTTCAATTAAGCCCTAAAAATAACTTGGGTGAATATTCCTTTTGACATTTTTATACTTTCAGTATTTTTGTATGTCAGAGAAATAATTTAAACTCTGTAACTTCATTTTTCAAAACACCAATCAAAAATGTGCACAATCAAAACTGACAAATGGAGTGACTTAAAATTTCATCTTTGTGGTATGTTAGGAGGATGAAGAAATTAGCAATTCAGCCATGCGTAGTTGCATACACCTGTAAGCCCATCACTTGGGAGGCTGAAGCAGGAGAAGCTCCACAAGTTTGAGGCCAACCTGGGCTACAGAGTGAGTTCAAGGCTAGCCTGAACTACTATAGGTCTTACAAAGTGAGACCCTGTCTCAAAAAAACAAAACCAAACCAGAAATTCAGCAATTTAATGAAAATAAATGACAAATGCCATACACACAGAAAACAAAAAATTAATGAAGTTACAATAAAAATCTTTATTCAGGTTTGGTCAGTACAGGTAAGATATACTGGAGTCACAGAGCAATATGCATTAACAGGATAAGACAGTTCATAAAAACTGAGTAACTATGCACACACGTTTCTTAAACATTCAGTCACCTAAGAGAAAATGCACAGATGTGTGGTGGGGAAAACTATCTAACATGGAAATTACTATAGGACTCCATCAACAAGCCTAACTTTTAGTGATAAAAACTACTGTACTGGGCAAACTTGGCAGTCATAAACCCACATCTACTCTAACAAATCCAAATGGTGCAGAAGAATATAACAGCGTAAGTAAGAATGCCCTTACACAGCACAGGTTTTAGATAGACACAGATTTATACAGACATCATTGTGTTATACTTTAAGGAAAGATTTCCATTTACAACTTCACATTAATGCATATAAAAATAACTTGACCCTACACAAAATGTCCTTTTAGCAACAAAGAAATTAACGAATACAATTTCCAATGTGGTAGAGGTATTGAACCCCCCCCAAAACCAACAAAAAAAACCACACACAAAAAAAATCAAAACAAAAATACACACCCACAAAAAGGCAAGTTATGACAAAAGTATGCATTAATTTTCTGGACAGTATCTTCTCCCAAATTAAATGACACTGTATAAAAATTTGCTGGAAAAATGTTACAAAACGGAACCCTGTACATTTACACTTGAGTCCAAGCCATTCTGGACATGGCGGGAACCCACAGTTCGGTTACCTTTCCCACTCACTGCTTTCTCCTCTTGAGGATCATGACTGGAGTCTGTGTCATTTGAATGGTGTGTGAGAGAGTTCTCACTGCCCGTGGGAGAGTCTACACTTTCATACCCCACACTGAGCTGGTTCATATAACTACTACCTCCTCTGCCAGTTCTCTCCTCTGAGCTGTCGGAGGCCTTATTCCCACTCCCTGGAGAAGAAGAAAAGTCATCCTCAGGTGTGCTCCCCTCCCTGTGAAATCCAGACCCAGACGTCCTCTGACGGGAGGAGCTGCCATTACTCGGTCCATTTGCCAGACGACTGCAGTCTTTATTTGTGGCCTCCGCCTGTTCCACAGGTTCCGAAGATGTAGTCCTGCTGGTGCCTGGGGCGGAGCCTTGAGACTGCTGCTGCTGGTACTGAGCCAACTGCTGGCGAGTCTCCTTCAGTTGCTGCTGAAGGACCAAAATGGTGCTCTGCATGCCCTCTACTTCTTCGTCAAGTTGAATGATGAAGTCATTCAGTTCTGTGCAAAGGAGAGTCAAACCTACTTTAGTATGTCTTGTAAAAATGCATTTAAAAATATTAATTTGAAGTGCGCCACAAAGCCAGGCAATTAATGCTTCACTACAATTTCGAATTTTACAAACAAGTACAATTCTAAAACCACAACATATTTTATTTGGAATTTTAAAGTCATTTAGGAATGAGATTTTTGGAGCAAGACAGATGCTTCAAATGTCAGTTTACTTTTTTTTTTTTTGTCTTTTTTGAGATAGGGTCTCACTCTGTAGTTCAGGCTGGCCTTGAGCTCACTTTGTAGCCCAGGCTGGTCTTGAACTCACAATGATCCTCCTGTCTCAGCCTCCCAAATGCTGGGATTACAGGCATGTGCCACCATGCCCGGCAATGTCAGTTAACTTAAAATTGATTCAAAGCTGGGCGTAGTGGCACACATCTGTAATCCCAGCACTTGGGAGGAGGCAAGAGTATCACTATGAATTCGATGCCAGCCTGGACTAATATTCAGTTCAGGTCAGCGAGCCTGTCTAGATTCAACTCACTCTTTTTACATGTAACTGATTACAGACCAGAAGTCCAACCCTTGTTTATTGTGGGTTCAACATGGCCAGTGCTCTTACTCTCCACCTTTAGCCAGCGTCTTAGCTCTGCAGCAGATTCAGCCCTTAGGACACGGTGGTCCTGTAGTCTAATCCTCCAAAAAGGCCTATTCTCTCACCAAAAACTGTCCCACAGGGCTGGGGACGTGACTCAGCATAGAGTCTTGCCTTGCATGCACAAGGCTCTGGGTTCCATCCCCAGCACCACAGAAAGGAAAACAATCAAACACGGTCCCACATACCAAAAGAAACAAATAAAAAAGAAAACCAAATGATTTTTGGAGATTCTCTACAAAACCTCCTACTTAACATGTTTATAAGTAGTAAGAGCTAAGAACAATCACAATGAAAAAGTAGTTTTAAAGATATTTCTGGCCAGGCGTAGTGGCGCACGCCTGTAATCCCAGCACTCGGAGGCTGAGGCAGGAGGATCGCTGCGGGTTCGAGGCCAGCCTGGGCTACAAAGTGAGCTCAAGGTCAGCCTGAACTTCCTAGTGAGACCCTGTCTCCAAAAACAAACAAACAAAATAACAAAATAAGGATATTACTGGTTTTCTTTGCAATTAATCAGATATGCTAATTCTGTTTTTCTTTTCTTTTTTTGGTCTTTTTGAGATAGGGTCTCACTATGTAGTTCAGGCTAGCCTTGAACTCACTTTGTAGCCCAGGCTGGCCTCAAACTCACAGAAACCTCCTGCCTCAGCCTCCTGTGTGCTGGGATTACAGGCATACATATGCCACCACACCTGGCTAGTTTTTCTTTTTTTCTTTTTGGTACCGGAAATAGAACTCAGGACCTTGCGTTTCCCAGGTAGGTGCTAATGCCGCTGAGCTATATCCCCAGCCCTACTTTTTAAATATAGTAAGTAGCTACACTTATTGAAGATCACATGACATAGCAGGAACATGGAAAAGAGCAAAGGGAAAAAGAATGAAGGAAAAAGGGACTTGAATGTGAAGGAAAAAAAACACACTGTATTTTCAGTTTGGCTATGTTTCTTATTATCAATCTTCACAAACAAAAAGCAGCACGGATGCAGATATACTTGCCCAAAAAAGGAGAATAATAATAAAAGTTGGCTGCCTTAGCAAATATAACTATTAAATCTCTTATTTGCTAAACAGGACCTGAACAAGTGCCATCAATTACATTTTCAACCCCTGGAAATCACCAAATATTTCTAAGATATAAGAGAAATGGTTAAAGATATACAGTGGTACCTGACTTTAGGAACTTAATTCTGTTTTTGTATGCAAACTCTGCATGGCGTGACAAACGTGACTGTGGCCACCGTCCCAAACACAAACATGGTTGTCATTTCCAAAATCGTAGAAAAAAGTCTGTAAACTGAGCTACCACTGTACCTCCTTTTCAAAGCACAAAACACAAAATTTTATATCCCTTTTTTGTCACTGTTTTTTTTTTTTGGAGACAGAGTCTGCTATCAAGCTAGACCTGAACTTACTATGTAGCCTGGAGTAGCCTATAACACAATAGCGATCCTCCTGCCTGAGCCTCCCGAGTGCTGGGATTACAGGCATATGCCACCATACCTGGTAATTTTTTACATCTTAAATACAGTATCTTTTCCCTAAGAACAAAATCTTCTGGAATTTCAACAATAAATAAGCAATTAAGAGAATAGAAAAAAAATCCTGTAAAATTAAATGCTTTGTTTGCTGACACATCTAGAAATGTTTTATTCATAATTTTATATAACCACAGGTGGAGGAACAGCACGTACAGAATCTAACCTATAGTATTTGTAACTGGCAGTTTTGTAAAGCCAGTGCAAAATTAAGCGAATTTTTCAAAAATTTTGAAACCCCTTACCATCCTGACTGCTCTTAAGCTCCTCACTATATTTCTTCTGTAAAGCCAACTCTGCTTCAAGCTGTGCAATACGGCCCTGGGACAGCTGCCTTCCAAGCTCCTGGTTCTCCTGGATAAGCATTCGACACTTCGCCATTAACTTTTTGCCTGTTTGGCTGCAAAGGAAAGAGCCAACCATCACAAAGTGCAGACAAAACCCTGTAACTTTCTTTGCTTACAATTATTACAGCAATAACTATAACGTGAATGGAATGGAACTACATCACAGTAGATGCAAACCTATTTACCATCTTTGCAGGAACAAGTTCTTCTTCTGCATTTCAGGATTTTGCCAAACAGGAGCAAAATGAAATCCTAAACAAAAGGTGCTCCAATAGTCACTTGTTGTTTCTATCACATCAAAAATCTGTCTTCATCCCCAAATATAATCTGAAATACAGCCAGGTGTGGTGGCATATGCCCATGAACCAAGCACTCCGTGCAGCTCAAGAGGGAGGATCACAAGTTTGAAACAAGCCTGGGCAACTTAAGACTGTCTCAAGGTTCTAGGTTCACTCACCAGTACAAAATAATAGTAACAACAATTTAAAACAATACACACCTCAAATACACCAGTCTTAATATAACACTAAGATTCTCAGCTTTATTCAACCGAAGTTCTTGAAAAGGTGCATGTAAAAACAATCACAAATGCATGCTAATTTATAATACCTTCTCTAAAGTATCTGTAATACTCAAGATATATTTATTCTCACAGGACAAATCCATACAAGGAGTCCTCTTTAACAGGTAGTTCTTTGGTACACTCACCTTTCATACTTCCCAATAATATGGCTATTCCAATAAATGAGGTACTTTTAATATTTGTTTTTTTTTCAGTACTATGGATTGAACCTATGCTAGGCAAGCATTTTACCACTGAGTTACATCTGCAGCCCCTTTCATTTTTTGAGAAAGGATCTTGCTAAAATGCCCAGGTTGGCCTTAAACTTGTGATCCTTCTGCCTCAGCCCAAATAGCTGGGATTATAGAAATGCATCACTATGCCACAAGTTCTTAAGACTTCAGCTAAGGTATCCAACCCCTTTCTATAATTTTAAATTTTGAGACAGGGTATGGCTAAAGTTGTTAAGTTGCCCAGGCTGGGTTTGAATATGTTGCTCCTACTGCCCTAGCCTCCCACAGTGCTAGAATTCCAGGCATGTACCACCATGGTATTTTTTTTTTCTTTGGGTACCGGGAACCGAACTCAGGACCTTGCACTTGTCAGGCAGGCGCTTATGCTGCTGAGCTGTATCCCCTGCTTTTTCTTTTATTTTAAATTGAGGTAATGGTGATTAAACCCAGGCTTTGCACTGATCTATCACCTCAACCCTTTTGAAAATTTTCAGACAGGGTCTTGATAAGGTGCTAAATTGTACACGCTAGGCTTGAACTCACAATCCCCCTGCCTCAGTCTCCCAAAGCGCTAAGATTATAGGTGTGTGCTACAATGCCTGGCTTCATACAACTTTTTTTATGTGATTAATATATGGTTAAGCTGCCAAATGGGCACTGAGGCCTAACTTTAAAAAAATTTATATTGATTCGTGGTTAAGATTTTACTGATGTTATAAAAGCACATCCATGCATCACAAAGATCAATAGTTACTTATCAAATGCAAACATGGAAATATCTGCCAAATTAGGAGTATTGTGCCATTAACACATTTTATTTCCAAATGCTACTGCCATATACTATAGAACCTATATACACATACATATCAATTGCAAAAGTGTAATTCAAAGTCCAAGTAAGTTTCTCAGTAAAATTTACTACCTTCTTTTAGCCTAGCAATAGCAGAAATGATCAGTTTTTAAGAGATCTAAGTATGTAATTTTGACATTAACTTTGAGACTTGGACGGGGAGAGTAAGACATTCTTGTCATTGTGTTCAGTCCACAGTAACTTTATTGGTTAAATTCATTTTTTTATTCTAGTATTCTCTTCTTCTAGGGGGCTTTTAATTGCCTCATACATACATTACTTAAGAGTAGATCGGACCCCATCAAACCTGAGAAATTTGAAACTGGGAGTGCTCTGTTGGCAGTTATTCTTTCAAGTAGTGCTGCAAGTGCTGTACATATATTCTAATCTAATTCAAGAAAAAGCTGGTAACTGAGATTCCTTTAAAAAAATCTGGTAAAGTAAAACCTGGCTTACTACTGTCCAAGACACCCTAGTGGCTTGAAAGCTAGTATTAACATGTGATAAGGGTTTACGGTTAGGTTCACGCACAGCAATTCTAACTGCGGCTATTCTTCATTGCTGTTGCAGCTTCAGATCTCCCCTATCTCCCATTGGCATCCTCAAATTTTACCCTCCAGTGAATAAGCACTTCAAAATCAAACAATCAAGAAATAACATACAAACATCACTGTTTACAGTGGCTTCCCTTCCATCTGGTTGCCTATGCTCCAACAACTTTGTTTCTTGCAAAGCATACAAGCATTGGGGTTTTACAACTAACCTTGAAACTCTCTCTCTTTATATGAATTAACTAAAGCTTAAGGAAGAAATAAACTGTAAAATATATTAATTTGTGACCTGACTTAACATAATACAAAAACCTCAAAACCACTGAAAGAAAAGTTTGGTTTAAAAAAATTGTATTTTTTTTCTTGAGACAGGGTCCTGCTGTGTGGTTTAGGCTGGCCTTTAACTCACAGTGATCCTCCTGTCTCAGCCTCCTGAGAACTTGCCTGGCTAAAAGTTGTCTTTCTATAATGTCTGCTCTAAAATAATCTTATCATTTCTGAAATTACTAATAACCAAAACATATGCCAACAAAACCACTGTTTTCTTAAGCGTTCTGTAATTCTATGTCATTTTATTAATCACCTCATGTAAAATTTGTGTTGTGCTCATCATATCAAAAGAAAATGACAGTGGGGGTCATGGCAGAGCACATATGAGTGCTGGGTTCAATCCCCACTACTGCCCCCTCCACTCCACAAGAAGAATTGGATATTGAACTGAGTGACAGAGCGGGTCAAACATGAATTTGACCCAGCACCATAAATGAGTGAGAAGAATTGCAATAAATGTTTCAAAAATGAGTGAAAAGTGTTATTTCTTTCATTCAAATATTTTTGGAATACTTTTTTTAAAATCACAGAATGCCCACCAAACATGGTGGTGATTACCTATAACCTTAGCTACTCAGGAGGATAGGAAGGCCAAGTTTGGAAACTTTAGCAAGTTTCAAAATAAATAACTAAAGGCTGTCTCAAAATAAATAACTAAAAGGCTTAGAAATGTAGGTGCCAAGGGTGTCCTGGATTTGATGGTTTGCTCCCCAGAACTGAAAACAACCCATTTTAAAATCAAATAACCAACAAAGCAAATAAATCAGAAAATACTTCAAGAGAGGGGTTTATAAAAAGGAATGAACACTGTACATTAATTATGAAGGTAAAGGTAGCAAGATTGTTTTAGAAAGATACATATACAATCAAATGCAAACTGAAAACTGCCAAAATAGTGAAACATGACCCTCTCGAAACTCTAAAATGTATCATGAAATATTTTAAATACTGGACAAGAGAATTTAAAGAATCTTCCTCCTTCTTCTTTTTTTTGTCTTTTTGAGACAGGGTCTCTCTATGCAGTTCAGGCTGGCCTTGAGCTCACTTTGTAGCCCAGGCTGGTCTCAAACTCGCAACTATCCTCCTGCCTCAGCCTCCCGAGTGCACTGGGATTATAGGCGTGCGCCACCACACCCAGCTTTCTCCTTCAAAACAGAAAAGAAGTATAATCCCCCAATTCCTTCTATTTGAATTATTTATTCCACATTGAATATTACCAACTGATCATTACTTGTTCCAAATTAGTGATAGGTTCATAGTAGCTAATGTTCTCTGGTTGTATATAACCTAATTTTACAAAACAACCATCCGTAGATGATTAAACTATGACTGATTAAAGCAGAGATTCTCTGTAATAATTAAAAATGTAATGTAGATGTACTAAAAAGATGCCCCAAAGTGGGGGGATGACAAGCTGCAAGCTATCTGTATGAACAATATAACATTTGTTTAATATACATAAAATGATTGTGTGTGTGTATACACACACACACACACACAGACACACATAAATAATCTTGATGATATCCAGTTTAACATCAGTTACTGCTCCTGCAGAGATTTGTGGAAGGTGGAGATCACATCCAGGAGTGACATTCATTTTTCATATATATCTTTGTGTTTCAGTTTTACAGATGAGCATGTATTATCTTCAAGGAAAAAATAAAAGCCCTCTAATAAAATACCTCTAAGTGACTGGTACCTAAATGGCTAAATTTGAGAATACATTAATAATACATTTTGTAAATTACTTGACCTGTTAAAAATATACTTAAGGCATTGCTACTATGGTTTTAAAAGGTGTAAAATAAATACAAAATACTTAATATGGGCATAAACTAATTTCAAACAGATTTGCTTACTTACCCTTCAAACCTCACAAATAGAATTTTAGAAACAAGCTTCTTGCTGAAAAGTCACAAACCACTTCTTCAACCCACCCTCTCCCACAATCAGTTCTCTAAGCACAAACATACAAGATACTTACAATTGATTTGAATGATTAATAGAGAACTTAAGTCACCCTTGTTAAAAATGCACTTAAACGTTGGGACAAGCTGGAACATTTATCTTCCACTCATCTTAGACTTCATTATCACCAAGCGAAAATTCAAATTGGTGACTTATAGAATGATCGGACGAAAAAATTCACCTCCAGGATTGAATGGAAACATGAAGAAAATAATGCCTCATTTATCTAAATGATCAAATGAATTTGCTAGAAATGGTCACTATAACTTGTTTTTTCCCCAATTCACAAAAATGTCTCACTTAGACCAGCCCACAGTTCCAACACATTATTTCCCCAATCTTCCGGCAGGCACCCTGTGAGACTGTCCCACATTAATTCTACCGCAATATCCAGGGACAAAGTATCAAAATGTAACAAGCGTCAATTCTCCTTGTCTTTTATGTACCAGCTGGAATAAAGGTCTTTTAAAAATGAGACAATCTTTTCCTTCACTTTGAAGAGCACAACCAATTTTCCAAAATCAATCTGCTCTCTGTAGCACCCCCCAATTAAACTGTTAAAAGTACAACAAAATCATCATAGTATTCCTTAAACTTAAAAAAAAAAAAAAACAACTATTTCAAGGCACATTTAATTTAATATCAGAAATGTTAACACAAAAGGCCCAAATACAATGAAGGAACACATTCCCCCACTAACACCAAGACAATGCTCTTTTAACATGTGCCTGACGAATGGGATCAGGGTTTCATAAAGTTCACTACTAAAAAAATAATGCAGTGAGTCTCATCACAGCCCATATCCTTATACATTCTAGTTGTGAAATGAATGTTTATAATGCTTCAAACAGTTTAAGCCTGAAATTTGATACCACTCCTTCATGTTTGTACAGTCCTTAGTTAAGATTATCTACAGTTTTTGCAACCATTCAAAGAACAAACCATTGATTAAAACCATATTGATTTAGGCTCTATTAACTAATATAGAGCCCTAAATTAAATGGTTAAATATATGTACGACTTTACCAACATCTGTTATTTCTCTCATGACTATTAAAGTTGGTTCTTAGCAATAAACCCTTCAAAGGCAAAATTCACCTCATTTGAGTTTTGACCCAGAAGTTCAACAACAATCATGAAGTCCACAGTCTTATTGGCAAAATTGATATACACTGTCTCTAAGTCACTGTGCTCAAGGTTAAGAGCGATGCGTATTCCGTGTTTACATTTAACTGGAATTTTACATGTTCAATTCATGATTTGAAATCTCTAGGTTTTCAATCCTCCAACTGTCTGAAGACACAGTGTGCCACAGACTAAAGACTTCTGTTTCTCCCTCTATTTTCTTCAAACAGAAACATTTCTCAAGTGTCTACATGTTCTAGAAGGGGCATTTTTCGAAGGTGGCCTCTTCTTCGGAATAGTCCGACGGCATCAGGCCTCTGAAGCAAGGGGAAGGGGAAGAGAAAAAAGCTGAAACACAAGGCTCATCTGGTAAGTTTTACATTAACCATTACAAGCTGCACAGTATAAGAATGTGGCTTTTTTTTTGCTCAAAAAGTCTGAGTCTTGGTGTGGAAACGAGTACTTGGCTGTCCCACCACAGCTTTCTCGTAGTGGGACTGTCAGGGAAGTCTTGACTGGGGAGTATGATTTGTTTACCTATCAGGCGTAAACTTCCAGGCACTCAGTTCATTTTGAGCTTGTTCCAGTTTGTCTTTAGTCTGTTCCAGTTCACCTTTCATTTTTAGGAAAAACAAGTTGATCGCTGGGTCTACCATTGTTGATCTCAGTTGGGCAACACTCGGCTGCTGGACTTGCTTGAGGTACTGGATTTGAGTCTGTGCAAAGCAAAAGCAACAATTACTACCAAATCAAAGGAAATATGTAAGGTAAGGGAAATACCCCTTCATTAACTTGATTTATCAGCTCATTTATTAAACCTTATACCCTTTCATCTTAAAATTCTCCCTACGGGATAGAAGTCCAGCTCCACAGCACAGCACGTGTGCAAGGCCCTGGGTTCAATCTTCAGCGCAACAAAATCAAAAAGAAACAAAAAAACCTCCAGCAAAAGTACAAATTAAAAACAAGAATTCACACACAAAAGAAGTATTCATAGATACTGTGTCCATCTGATTGTATCTCCAAATTTGGGACTTTTACATAAAGCAGCTACATCTTTAAAACCAAAGTGGTACACCCCCACCAAAGTTTGTATTTACTACAGATCCTTTTTTGTTTTTTGTCTGTTTGAGACAGGGTCTCACTATGCAGTTCAGGTTGGCCTTGAGCTCACTTTGTATCTGAGGCTGGCCTTGAACTCACAACAACCCTCCTGCCTCAGCCTATCAAGTGCTGGGATTACAGGCATGTGCCACCACTCCCAGCTTTACTACAGATCCTGACACCTCCCTGGGGAAAAAGAAAACCAAGCTTAAATTATCAATCATAAAAGAGCCAGTGAAATCTTGGCTCATTTGTATTTTTTGTTCATGAAATTATTCTACATAAAAATACACTAGAAACAATTTTTTCTTTTTGGCTTTTTTGAGACAGGGTCTTGCTATGCAGTTCAGGCTGGTCTTGAGCTCACTTTGTAGCCCAGGCTGGTCTTCAACTCAGAAAAATCCTTCTGCCTCCGCCTCCTGAGTGCTGGGATTATAGGCATGCACCACCATGCCTGGCCCAGAAACAAAATTATAATTTAAACATATTTGTATTGTTTCAACTAAAAGGTACACAGCTATGTTAAGTTGCCAGTATAACTTTATAATAGCCAACTTCAATAGCACCCTAAGTCAAGACAAAGTGTGTAATTTATTTTCCTCCCCTGTAAGTAATTTGAATCGGAGAATTATAAAGCTGGAAGGTACTGACCTAGTCCAAAATGCTAATTTTTGAGAGATGAAACATGGCAATTGCCCAAAGATACAGTAGGTCAGTGCTAGTGCTGTGACCAAAATTCTAGCTCTCAGGCCTCCTGACTCCAGGTCCAGAGCTGCTTCTATCATTTCAGGACCCCTCTACTTACATATGGAACCTTCAAATTCGACTTTAGCTATACTATTTACTAGCACAATAAAAATATTTTTTAAAATATGAAGCATTTAATCCATCCGTCCATACCGAAAGTAGAACTGTTTCCAAAATCCTGCTCCACACTAAGGCTTAAATAGGATAAAAATTAAGATTTTCTATCATACATTTAAAATAAGGCACAAATATAATAATTGCATTAAAATATTTTTAATTACTGTTTCACGGTACAAACAGAAATGTATGACTTTATAATAGAGGTTTTTAAAGTACAACTCATTTTAAACAAGTACAACTGCTTCTTCAAAGTAAGGCTAACTACTAAAATAATTTAGACAGGGATGGTGGCACACACATGTAATCCAGCATTTGGAAGGCTGAGGCAGGAGGTCTGCAGCAAGTTCAATGCCAGCCTGAGCCACATAGTGAGTTCAGGGCCAGTCTGCACTACAAAGTGAGATGCTGTCTCAAAAACCAAAACAATGTATCACAGACATCAGCAATACACCTACCCCAGCTATCCTTGTATATACATATAAAATTTTGTTTTTCATTTTAAAGAGAAAAGAAGAAACAAAACAATAAAATTTAATGCAGGAAGAATAAAGCATGTCTGATAGCTTACATCATGTGGTAACAAATTAAAACACAGTGTCTACAATACTGACTTGGACTCCATTATAATTTATGTTTGCATTATCCTAATAGTATTTTCTGGTCATGTAAAGAGAAGCATACACCTAAAACAAATTCCATGTGTTAGGGAAAAGTCAAGCTTATTTCTAAACTATTTTGAGGGGACTGGAAAATGAAAAAGGAAAACAGAAAGCCCTTAGGAAGCTGAGGAGGATTGTTTTGAGTTTGAGGTAAACTACAGTGAGGCCAGTGTGAACTATACAGGAAGACTCTGTCTCAAACAAAAAAGTGAAAATAGGAAAATCTACAGAGAAAAGCAAAACTGATGTTTACTCATGAAAACAAAGTTAAACAAGCATTATAAAAAAATCCAAACAAGGGGCTGGGATGTAGTTCAGTGTTACAGTGTCCTCCTAGTATGTTTTGAGGCCAGGGTTTCCAGTCTCAGGACAAAAAAAAGTCAAGATCAGTAACTTTCATTGGTTAAATTGGGAGGTAGGTTCACCCCCCAGTATTACAAAACACACAAACACTACCAAGTGACCTGGGAAAGATGAAGAAAAAAAAGAATTACATAATTAAGGCCTGGGGGCATGGTTTAGTGTCCCTTGCCGATCATGTAACACAAGGCTCTGGGTTCAATCCCTAAAATTATGTAATTAAACATTTAAAGAGAAAGTAAGTATGTCAGGCAAACAGAAGACCTATAGAGAAATAAAAGATTCCTAGACACTTTTTTTTATTAACACCTAGCTTAACTTGTAACACTGAAGATAAAAGTGTAAGTTCCTTTTTGAAATGTAGACTGCAATCCTTACATTGTTTCTTTGATTCAAAAAGGGATAGGGAGAGAATGCTCCTGGCCCAGCTCAGTCCCTTCAACTACAAATTTGTTTAACCTTTTCCTTCCCGCCTCCTTTGGCACCTTAATCTCAACCTTTTTACCCTTTGAATTCTCTATCTCTAAATTCCCATTTATAGCTCCTCTAGAGCCTAAACATTTTCCAAAATGTCTCACCTTAAACTCTCTCAATCTTGTATAACTACCACCTAGACACTCTTAGTATTAACTAAACCTTATTAAATAATCTTACCCATGTCTGTTTGACATACCACCCGCTACTCATTTAACTGCAATCCTGCTCTGCCCCAACCCTCACTTGAAACAAGTTTCACTAAAGTGGCCCATAGCCTAATTGCCCAATCCACCGATTTAAAATTAGAATTTTCTTCACAGCCTTGCCAGCATTTGTTATTGGTTGATTTCTTAACGCTAGCCATTCTTACTGG